CTCCTTAGATGTTTCACATTTGAAGACCTCCTTTCAGTTACTCAGCTTGCAGCTGACCTAGGTTTCACTTTAAATCCTGGGCTCATTCCCCCACAGACCCAGCACACCCTTCTCTGCTTCAGCATGGACAGCTCAACTTCATATTGGCTGAAGCACGACATCATCTGGAAGGTAAGTCAGCTGCCAGTACTCATCAGTGAGAGGCAATCCCAAGATTGGTAATTATGCAAGTTTGATTACCAGCTAGTTCGGAATTTCAAGCAATTGCTTTTTGAGAGGAATTGAAAGTTAACTGTACTAAGTTTGTAGCTAAGGCTCCATTCTTCAAAAGAACTGAGAACATGCTTGGACCCTCACCTCATTTGCCCTCATCTCGTCTCTAGAAATAAGCTAGGATCAGGAATCCTTCCCCTATTTCACAGCTGGAAAAACAGGGCCCAAGAAGCAAGAGAGGCACATTCACTGTCCTGTAGGGACCAAGGCAAAACGAGGACAAGAGCCAAGTTCCCCTTCCTCCAAGTCAGGCAGATCCCACTAGCATCTTTCTATACCAACTCCCTGGGCAGCCCAAACCCTCCACAACATCTCTGGTCTTTGCCCTCACCTTGTCGATGAAGGAGGCAAACTTGTTGTTGAGGGTCTTGATCTGCTCCCTCTCCTGGGCCTTTACTTGCCCAATCTGGGGGTCAATCTCCACATTGAGGGGCTGCAGGAGGCTCTGGTTGACAGTCACTTCCTGGATTCCCCCGGGGTAGCCACCAGGGCCAAAACCACCAGGCCCACCAAAGCCACCAGCTTCTCCAAAGCCACCAGCCCCTCCAAAGACACCAGCTCCCCCAAAGCCACCTCCCATTCCTCTGCTACCACCAAAGCCACCTCCATAGCCACCACCAAAGCTGCCTCCATAGCTGCTCACAAAGCCACTGCCACAGCTGCTACGCCCTCCACCAAAGCCACCAGACCGGGATCCTCCAGCTGCCACACTGATGGAGATGCTCTTGTTGCCACCCAGGTTGTAGAGGCTGCGACTGCCAAAGCCACCTGCCCCACTCCGGAACCCACAGGCCCCTCCACTGGCTCCCCCAGAGCGGGCCACACAGCTCATCCTGCTGCTGCCAGAGACCACAGCAGAGCGGCCGGAGAAGCCCTGGCTCCTGCCACTGAAGGATTTCTTGCAGACTTGTCTGTTCATGGTGAGAGAGCTTGGAGGTGGGCTAACGATCACTTAGCAGGAGCTGAGAAGGATGAAGACAGAAGATGGGGATGACAGAGGAGACTGGCCTTTATATACCAAGGAATTTGGCTTGGCAGGAGGTGAGGCAAGCAATTAACTGACAGTCATCTTGGGTTTGGTTTGCCTCACAGGCGACAAGTTACTTCTTGGTTCTCAACACACCTCAAAGATAATCCTCTGGACCAAAATGGCTTTGCTTTCTTAGCTTAATCACCCAAACTTGCCTCAGCTGACAAAAGACTGCAGCTCTCATCCCTCCCTTTGTGTGATTTCCTCAAGGGTCCTAGGAGCCCAAGCAGCACCCGATCCAACAAGATGAATTGGCTTTAGACACCAGGGGATTAGGAACCACTGAGCTCCTTGACACAGGGGTGAGGACTGGCCACCCTCTTCCATGTGGGCTGGGTCCCTCCTTGCAGTCCCAGAGTGTTCACAGGCTCTGGCAGTGACTGAGCCTGTTTCTTCCATTTTGGGGCATTGTCTTCTGTTGCATGTCACCAACTTTTCAGAGAGGGCCTGGATTCAGGACAGAGGTAAAAGGCACACTGACCCCACAGAGTCCACTCTGCTACCACCTCAGCCAAAGGCACCCATCTAAGCAGGCCTGGAGTTTGAGCTGAGAAGTGCTTCTCATGGGAAAGAAACTGAAGTAGAACTAACATGTCTGGCCCCTGGAAAAAAGGGAGGCTCATAATATGGAGCAAGCAGGGCCGGCCCGGTAGCGCACTGCTATAGTGCGCCGCTTGGGAGTGTGGTGGCGCTCCCGCCGAGGGTTCGGATCCCACATACAGACCGGTTCCCGCTCACTGGCTGAGCGAGGCGCGGGGGCAACACTGAGGGTTGCGATCCCATTGCCGGACACGGAAAAAGACAAAAAGGAAAAAAAAATAATAATAATAATAATAATAATATGGAGCAAGCAAGTGTGAGGCTTGGGAAGAGGAGAATAT